CGCTAACGGGACCTCCGTGGGAGGGTCACCCACCCCAGCAGCTGATGGAGGGTTTCTTAAGTGTCAAAACTTGGGAGCCAGGACTGGGAGCTTGCACACTGTGGCTCCTGGTTGCTTTGGACTTCAGGCTCTCCCCTCTGCCTTTGGGTCAGGGGGACTGCTGTGCCTTGAACTAGTAAGTGGTAGTGTGCAAGAAGGAGCTTATCAGAGGTAGAAAGGTTAGTTACTTGTGTGTCTCTGGTTCACCAGTATTGCCTCTGCCTCTCCCCGCATTCCTCTGCTCCTCTGGGAAGTTCATTCCCCACCAGACTCTCCTTGAAGAAGGGTTGAGAACCGCTTGGCCTCTTGCAGCTCCAGGTGTTCACTGCCCTTACGCAGTCCTGGCTGTCACTGTGCCCTGAGGTCTCTAAAGCCCAGCCAGCACCAGCTGGAGGGTCTGTTGGACAAATTCTTCACTGGAATGTGACCTTTCCGTCAACAGCTGGGTGATTCATGCTTGCACTGAGGTTTGGGGGAGCTTGCTGTATGTCAGAAGTGCAGTAAACGTGATGGTGCTTTATTGGATGAATGCGGTGCTTTGTTGGATGAATGCGAACCATCAGAGCAGGGTTTTGAGTGAAACTGCATTTCTGAGGGTATTTACTGTGATGTGTTTGTCAGACGTCTGGGTTTTCTAAGGTGGGCACATCCGAAGCAGGTAGAATTAACGTTGCTTTCCTTCCCTGACCACAAAATGCATCGTTGGGTTTTTTGGGGGGCCCATTGGTGGCATTTTGAGTTGTGTTGGATGTTTCTAACTGTTATTGTTACTTAGATTTAACATACATACAGCCATTTCTTTTTGCCCCTTACCTAGTTGCTCCTCAGGGAATCCTATATCCCTTCCTGTCCCCCTTCCTAGTCCTTCTACTGCTACTTATTCACTTGCTTTTTCTGTTACTTGCAGTTTCGTGTAAATGAGTTTGGACAGCTAGAAATCATTACTGAAGTAGAAACAGAAGTCGCAATAGATCTTTCAGTCTCAGCGGTAAATGCCAGGCCGACCACATTGGCTCCTGCAGCTATCGATGCTTCCGCTGCCTCTAGCACTAATTTGGAAGGTGAGCTTTTTGCTATGGAAATGAATACACAGTTTCTGAAAAAGCTTCTAGAAGCACGTCTGGCTGAAATGCTTGTGTCAGTAGCATGGTGCTCTGTGGCACAGCATGTGGAGTGAGTCACTGACATTTGGAGTATTTTAGGAGTATTTCGAGTGAATGTAATTGCTGCGTAGTCATAACAGTACCTGGTGCAGGCATTATGCTAGCCTTGGTGGAAGGTAAGTGTGGTTATATAAACAATCTGGGCTAGGTTTGTCGATCAGACATCCCTCTCACACAGAGTTCTAACTTACATTCTGTGCTGTCTTTAGCTGGTGATTCTGGGAAGCCGGAGCCCCCGCTTTCCAGGGTAGTGGATCAGCAATGACATCAATGTTTCTCAACACCAGTGACTTACTTATTATGACAGCAATTAAGTCTGCATCTCTATTAAACCAAACTGCCTGGTTTGGGGCCTTGATACCAGAGTGGTCTGATCATATATGCCTTATTAAACACTCCTAGCCTCTACAACAGTGATTGAACCCAGTGGGCAGCATCTCAGCTCCATGCTAACTCCTGAACCATTGCTTGGGCAATGGGAAGCCAAGCTTGGGCAATGGGAATTCCAAGCTTTTGCTTGGGAAGGCACTAGGTGCCCTAGGCCGGGAGTGCTGCGGAGCTGTGCTGGAGATGCATGTGGTTGAGTTGCAGGACCTGGCACTGTTTGATTTACTAGTATAGCTGTGCCTCAGCTGACTGCTCTTGGGGTCGATGAGAGCTTCCAGCGTGATTCCTGCCCCTGGTTGCGTGCATTACACAGTGCGGAGCATGAATGGATGGCACAGTGCAGTGCTGTGCATTCCTGTCTCAGGATGAATCCCCAGTGGTGTTAGTTATCTTCACAAGAACATCCTTGAGAGTCTTCTCTAACCAAGCTTGTGCCAAGAGATATGCCATTAGCCATAGGAGTTCTGAGGTTTCCAAGGCTACAGTCATTGAAATTAGGGAAAAAAAGAGTTTTAACAGGATAGTACAAGCGTGTTACTGGACATGCACATCAGTGTAGTGTACAAGGAGTATCTCAGTTCTTTGCAGAGCTGTTCTTACCCTCTTTATCCAGAAATCAGTAGCTCAGAACACAGTGTTTGTGTTAACCTCTGAGCTCTTTCATTCTGGACGGCTCAGTAGGTTAAGCTGGCCAGCCTCACTTACTCCGGTAAATCACTAGTTTCCTTTGATTAAATTATTCACTGTTTCTGTAGAGCTCCCTCGGATGTGTGCCCGAGGGTCTTCCAGAGAGTGCTAATGGAGCGCAGTGCTGAGGAGTGAGTGACGAAAAGCTCTCATCTCAAGAGTACCATTAGCCACCCAGCGTAAGCTCATCTTTTAAAGATGCTGTGGTTAAACGCGGCAGCGTGTGGTTGTGGCACAGGGAGCCCTTGATAGGTTTGCCTGACGCCTTGTACCAAACCAGATCTTCTTCTGAGGTGGTGGCAGGAGACTTGAGAATTGGCTTGGGACAGAGGGACACCCAGGGAGAGCAGCTGGAGCCTGTTCAGCGTCTCACTGCCCTCCACCAGTGCTTCCTGGTGCTGTAATGGAAAGGATGTTAACTCGTTGTGTAAGACTGCTAGTGCTGCTGGATCCCTCGTCAAGGCAGGGCTACCTCACTGAAGTCATACGTCCCTACGGCGGGAATTTCTCCTTTGAGGAGAGAGCGATCCCTCCTCACGTTGCCTGAATGGACAGGTGTCTGCCAGTTGGCTTTTCTCCAGGATTTTGGTGGAACTATGTCTGGTTTGGGTAGGAAGGCTTTGTGCCTGTCTTCCCTGCTGGCTTTTCTCATCTCGAATTTCATTGTTAGCTCTGCAGATTCACTTACACTTAGAGGCATTTGCTTATGCTCCTGCTGATGTTGGGTCATTCTGCTTGTCTGTGCGAGCCGCAGAGATAATCCATCAGGCGAAGAACCGGCTCTTGCGTGGACAGCTCAGCACTAAGAATTTTTCACAGCCTTTTAGTCCAAGCGTATTCCATAGATCAGCGTGACTTCTAATTGAGCAGAGCTCTTCAGGCGCTCTGGGTTCTTGCAAGTTTTCCCTGTTCTGTCTTTCCCCTGCCTGGAATCATTGGTCCCCAACAGCACAGGCAGAGGCTGTAAGTTGTGATAGGAGCAGGCGTGCGTACAGGCTCTGCGTGGGCAGCCTATCTGCCCACTTCCAGCCAGGACTGACTGACATCCCTATTGGTCTTCGGGGAGCAGTCAAATAGAAATGAAAAATGTCAGTCATCTTAGCAGAATGAGAACAAGTGCTGCTGAGGAGGCTATGAAACTGGTTTGAAACAAAAAGCCAAGTGACTCGTATCTCAGCATTCTGGATTGTGTGATGTGGTTTTTTTCTTTTTTAAAGTGTTTAATGATGCATTTAAAATGGATTGATCAAACCAGTGCACACGAATGGTGCCGCTAAATGCAGAGTAGGGATGATACAGCAGCCCCCGTGCACAATTCATGTGTCAGTTTACTTGAATCACAGAATCATGGAATGGTTTGGGTTGGAAGGGACCTTAAAGCCCACCCAGTCCCACCCCCTGCCATGGGCAGGGACACCTTCCACTAGACCAGGTTGCTCCAAGCCTCATCCAGCCTGGCCTTGGACACTTCCAGGGATGGGGCATCCACAGCTTCTCTGGGCAACCTGTCCCAGTGCCTCCCCACCCTCTCTGTGAAGAACTTCTTCCTGATACCTAATCTAAACCTCCCCACTTTCCATTTAATCTCGTTACCCCGTGTCTTGTCACTCCCTGCACTTGTAAAAAGTCCCCCCCAGCTTCCTTATAGCCCCTTCAGGTACTGAAAGGTGCTATAAGGCCTCCCTGGAGCCTTCTCTTCTCCAGGCTGAACAAGCCCAACCCTCCCAGCCTTTCATCGGGATGGTGTAGAGGCCTGGTGTAGGACCACTGCGGTTGTGTTTTGTTAAATTAATCAAATTAACATAAATTAATTTTCACTAGGAAGAACTCACATCATTGGAGAAAGTAAACATAAATTATGTATTAGAGTTATTTCTTACATTTTCATGCTTTCATTCAGATGAAAGATTGAGATACATGCCTTGCCAGATATAGAAATAATTGTTTCTATTCTCCCATCAATAATGTGCTAATTTTAGAGGCTGGCTATGAAGGATTTTCATGTGTATGAAGTATATATAAAGCTGAAGTTTTTTAAGTTAACCAACTGCATTAAATGTATCCTAGTGATAGGACAAGGGGTAATGGGGATAAATTGAAATCAGGGAGGTTTAGGTTAGATATCAGGAAGAAATTCTTCACGTAGAGGGTGGGGAGGCACTGGGACAGGTTGCCCAGAGAAGCTGTGGATGCCCCATCCCTGGCTGTCTTCAAGGCCAGGCTGGATGAGGCTTAGAGCAACCTGGTCTAGTGGAAGGTGTCCCTGCCCATGGCAGGGGGTTGGAACTAGATGATCTTTAAGGTCCCTTCCCACCAAAACCATTCTATGATTCTATGATTCTGTGATTCTATCCAGACAAGATGGGCTTGTTTGACATTTGTCTTTCAAGTAGAGGGTTACTTGGAATAAAGAAATAGAAAAAGATTTGTAACTTGGTCCTGGTTATAGCCTTGAGATTATATCCTTCTTTATCACTTTTAGAGGGGGCAGGTTTTCTCCAAAATTAAAATATTCTAGATAAAAGGTTTTGTCCTTAATGAGGTGGTACACACTTTCTGTCTGCCAGTGCACAGGTAGTAATTACTTCCCTCACAATGGGATACTGGGGGTCATTAATGAAAGTTTGGAAAAGACTTGGACAGAGTTTATTGCATGAAAGGTGTTTAAAAAGAGAAAGTTCTAGCATTTTAATCTAATAGTTGTGCTTTTCCTTGCTTCTACAGTGCCCAGAGACAGCGTGCCCTGCTCCAATTTCCAAACCTGTGAGCAAATGGATTGCGTTGAGAATGGAAAGTTCTGTACTCAGACGGACGCCCAGCAGCACAAGGACAAGTAAAGAAACCCCAGATCCTGCCTGTTCTGTGTTTAAAAATGCTTAAAGAGAACACTGTGTTAGAGAAAAGTGGTGCTGTGAGTAGAATGAAATCCTCAGAGCAAGCGTTCATGTGGCACGGCTGAGGCACTGCGCGGCTCTGACGATGACTTTCCTGATACCCTTGAGGCTCTCAGGCCCGACAGAGGAAAGCTCCTCTCTGGGCCTCTGTCCTCATTTCTTTTCCCAGCCTAAGGAAATGCTGGTTGTGTGCTTGCTGCCTCAGTCCCCCATCCTGCTACAAGCAAGGATGATAACTTTCTCTAGAGTTGTAAAAGGCAGAATGAAAAGCCCTCTCGGGCTGCTCAGGGGCCGAAAGCTGTGCCAGTATGTTGGAGTGCTTTTAAACAATGCATATCTGGCCAGTCCTGCAAACACTTCTTTGTGTGCTCAGCCCAGGCACCCTCATTCTTCTTAAGAGGTACAGAGACACTGGGAATACTGCAGGAGTGTTGTTGCACTTTTAATTTGATTTTGTTTTCGATTTTGGATGTTTAGTGGTACCGGAGACATTCCAGATGGTTACACAGACAGGGCTGATAGTAGAAATCTGAATACCAGCAATGGCTGGCAGGTGAATGAGGCTGACCGCGTTGCCAGACGTCTCCACAGAAAGAGAAAACATCTTCCGGATTTTGAGTATGGCGATGGAAATGCTGATAAGGATGAGGTAAATGAGGCTGCATGTATTTTCTCTAAAGAGAACTGTGAAGAGTAGGGACCGTCCTGTGTCTCAGGTTTCCCTGTGTAGTGCAAACCGAGCTGGGGGAGGTGGTCCTGTGCCATGAAAGGGTCTGGGTCTGATCCTGATTTGCATCGGGAAGGAGAATATCTGCTCTGAACTCTGAGGAGTCTTGTGGGTGAACAGCTCATGGGAAGTCAAAGTCAAGATTTCAGACTGTAACTGTATGGGTGTAGTTACAGCCCCGAGCACCAAGTGTATTTCATGGTAATAAAGCCACGAACTACAGTCGAGTACTATTATGGGATAGTAGGATTAGTGTCAAACGGCAGAGTTGGATTGCTTTTGATTATGTGTACACTTAACTACACGACTGGAAAGCTGTGGGAGTGGCAGGTGACCAGTGGTACCTCAGTGCTGCCCTGATCTTTTCCACTGAGCATCTTCCTCCCTTTAGGGGCCCTTCTTTGTGTAAGCCTGCACTCCGCTGCCGTGTGCGTAGCCTCTCAGGCCTGGACCGTTTTAATTATATTCACGTGCTGCACCCGCTTTCGTGGTGCAGAGGCGCTGGGGGAGGTGGTCATTGGCAACACAAGCTGAAACTTTGGGTGTCGTGAACAGTTTAACTCATCTGGTGGCTCAGCTGTTCTCTGTGTTGTGCGAGGTGTTTTCAAGTACGTTTGTTTGCAGAAGTACTTGCATTCTGTCTCTTCCCCCTTCTCCTCCTCCTTGGTTGCCCCTGTCTCTTCTGGGGCATGTTTGGCAGGCAGCTTTGCGTTTCAGATTTTGCCCTTTTTGGTTTGCTTTGAGAATTGGCAACCCTGGGTGAGTTAACAAGAGTTTGAAAAGCACATATAAGGAATGGGAACGGCAGCTGGGCTCGGAGCATGGCACGGCCAGACCACGTTTTCTGGGGTGTTCATCTGTGACAGTAGTTACTTGAAGCTTCTGCTCCCTTCAGAGCTTCATAAATGATTTTTCTTTTCTGTATCCATTCCCTGGCATAGATGGACATAAGAACCTCTGAAAGGAAGAGGAAAATGGAGCATTACCATAAGGTTGCTTATGAAAGCAGAACTCCTGCATTGCAGAAAGCAAATCCTGTGTGTTGTAATGGAGCTTTTGGGCCCGTGCTGCTCTTCAGTAGCCATATTTAAATGAACTTTAGTAGCATATATTAAACAATTTGTAAAGCACTTTGGGATGCTGCAGGATCAAAGTTATATATGTAACATACCTTCTGATGTTCTCGCAGGGTTATTCAAAAGAAAGTAATGCTAGTGAATACTCCTGGTAGTTACATGTCACATCCTTATTGTACCTGCATTGTGAGATGATCAAAGAGAAAGGAAAAAACGATATTGCTAAACTTTTTTTTAACATATCTGTGTCTAGGAGAAGAATAAATCAAATAATATGAAAAGCCGCAGAAACACTAAACCAATAATCCAAGGTGAGCTAAGCTCATAGTCTTTTTTCTTTAATGTTTATAGATTTTTTTTTTTACTAGCTATTATAGAGTGAATAATAGTAAACAGAAGAGAAAAGGACAGTAGAGCTGATTTCACATTCAGAATAGCTTATGAGGTACATAACCCTTTTACCACAGGCAGGCTTCTGAAATGTATTAGCCAGGCTATACTAGATTTGCCTGCATGGTGGGCACATCATAGAGGGTCTAGAAGGAGACAGCCTGACCCAAAGCTCACTGAAGCCAGTAAGAATCTTTTTTCCATTGACTTTGGAGAGCTTCATAGCCACAGACTACAAATGCTAAGTAGAAAATAAGCTGTAAGCACCATGTGATTGATTATAGACTTGGGGTTAAATGTATTATATACCTTAAAAGCCTGTGTAAACTGGGGAGAGGTTTGACTACGCATTTGTAACGTCATGTTCTGTATGTATGCCTGTGGTCCTACTGGAACAATCCAAGCACCTGCCCAAGTTGTTGTTTCCATCATCTGTGTGCTGGTAGCTGCCTCTCTAGTAGATGCAGCACGGTATTAGCAGTTACAAATATATGTGTGTATTTATGTATACAGAATATTGTGAAGGGAACAAAATTCTCTTGTTTTCTCATTTGTTTTGCTTTAGGTTTACTTTGGCTGCAATTATATGCCTGTTTGTGCTGTCTTTTAGTTTATATCTAACCCCTTATTCCTCTGTGAAGTATCGGGAGAAGGAATTATTTCCACAATTTAAAGTTATCATATCTTATCCAAACTTTACAGTGGCAGCTTTCCACGGGCAGCTTGCCAGCAATCTGGGTGCCACAATTAATTTGACCTGTGGTATAATAAATTGGTTTTTAATGAGAAACAAGCACAGTTTTCCTCCTGCCAAAATTTATACCTTTCCTCAAAAGTTGGGTAACACTGCCTCCTTGGGGGTGCGACAGCAAAACAGCGTTGGGAAGTACGTGGGAGGAGAAAGAGAAGAGAGGGTGGAGCGGGAGGCATCTGTGAGAAATACTCATTTTTTTCTTTGTTTTTGATTGCTTAGTTCTTCCTGGAAAGAAGGTATGGAACTGGGTTACCTACTTAGAAGAGGAACGGATGCCAGCTGCTCCCCTAAAACTGTTCAGAGAGGTTGGCATCTTTTTCAGCTCTCTTGCTATGTTTTTCTCAGGCAACATCACAGAATTACTAACTCAGTGGAGGTAGGACTGGAGACTACCCTCGAGCCAGCAGTTATGTTTATGAGTTGTTTCACTGCAAGCAGGCAGTAAAACCCCCACATGTTTGTTTCTAGCCCTGAAGCACTGTGGAAACAAGCATCTGCCCTGTGAGTCTCATCCCAAACCAGGGTGTAAAAAACGCGGGTTGAATCTCTCTCAGAAATAAACAATGACTGCTTCCATCTGCTTTGGGATGCTCGGAAATAAGTAAATGGGCTGTTAGGCAATCTCCAAGTAATGGTGGGGAGGGACAGCTTAATGTTTTTCATATGTCCTGTGCTTCGTCTGTGGTTGTCCGACACCCCTTCCAGCCTTCCTCTGTAGAAAACTGCAAGTCAGTCAGCTCTGTGCCTGTTGTAGGTTGTCCCAGTGAGAAGTGACTGTTAGGAGGGAGGGTTGAAGCTGTGTTCATTCCTCTTCTGATGCACTGAGGGTGGAGAGGACGAGTTTAGCCTTGGTGAAGCTGCTTCTGCACTCCAGTGCACCAGCCCAAATTAAAAATTCCACTCTAAAAAGCCAAGGTCTGTTGGCACCTTAGAGAGAGAGATGAGGAGTCATCAGGTACCTGCAGCGGACGCAATAAGCCACTTGCAATTCCAGTTCAAATTTCTTCTTAAGCCTTTAACTATACTTCAAAAGTTTAATTTGGATTAAGACTGCAAAGAAATAAAACCCACAAACGTTTTCTGGAATGGCTGTGTAAATGGGCTCCGGGCCAGACATGTTTCGTCCCTCTTACGTTTGAAGGTAAGAAGTTACCTTTTGGGAAAGTCTGGACTGCTGGCCCTGTGCTGACAGGGGTGAAATGGGTTTAACTTTCTCGGCTCTGTGTTTCTGCCAGCCCTCCTACTTTGGGCTGTGAAGGGGATTATTTCATGTTTGAATTGAGCTCATTTCTGCATCTGCTGAAAGATTTGTTAGTAGCTAATTGCAACAGGCTCGTAGTTCAGTGTTTTTGAGAGATTAATTAGAATAACAAGTAAATCTGAAATGTGGTGATCATGCCATTATTGATCTCCATACCTGCGTCTGTCTATTAAAGCAGCAATCATGTAGTCATAGAATTTTCTTCACTGAGTTAAAAATTTGAAGCCTTGAGTATATCTGATGACTGCTCTAAAATAGATGTTGTCTTTAGAAATTAAAACAAGTGTTTCCTTCTTCCCGTCCCTCACAGTATCAATCATTCCCACAAGGCGGAAATGGATTTTCAGTTGGACTGAAACTGGAAGGGCTGGATCCTGAACACCCCTCTCGATTTTGTGTTCTCACAGTGGCTGAGGTAGTTGCTTTTCCTCTCTTTGATTCCAAAAGTCCCAGGTACATTTAGGATTTTTTCCAATAAGACATAAGAATAATAGTAACTCAGTTATCTAAGGGTTAGAAGGAATTCAAGGTGACAATGAAGAAATAGTGTTACGTGGTTAAGCATCTCTACCTGACCATGTCCTGCTGTCAGAGTTTTGCTATTGTAACTCACAGTAGAAAACCTCTTAATTGCAAGTAACAAATAAATATGGAAAAGAACACTGCCCTAAGACTTAGTAAATATAAGAAAACCAGAATGCATTTATACTTCTTCTCTTCTGTGAAATTTGTGTTGATCTGTTATAGACATAAATGTTCCTCTGCTGCATTCGTACTCCAGGTATTGCCATGCAGGAATACGTGTGTGAGCGTGGAATAGGCCAGGGAAGTTAACACTTACCAGTTTTATTTTCAGCTTTCTGAAGTGAGGAAAGAGGAGCATGGAAACTGGGAGATATAAGTGAGGAAAAAGGAAACTAGACTTCTGAGAAATAAATGAAATCTTACATTTACTTTTGTCTGTAAATCCAGATGCAGAAGGAGAGTTTGATTGGTGCTTTTCTGTAGCTTCTTTATAACCTTTTATGATAACCAGAGCTCCCCTCATTACAGGTAAAAGGGTACAGAGTGCGATTACACTTCGATGGTTATCCAGAGTGCTATGACTTCTGGGTTAATGCTGATTCCTCAGACATCTATCCTGTTGGCTGGTGTGAAAGTACAAGTCGTAAGCTGCTCCCTCCTAAAGGTATGAAAAAAAAAAAATAGAATGGTGTGCAAGGAACCATAAATTCTACTAAGAACTAGTTGTCCTGGCTCTGCATGTTTCATTTTTAGTATGATTTCATTTTGCAACTCAATCCAAGTGACTTGAAGGGAAGAGGTGTAACTAAGAGAGTGACTCACAAAAGGACAGAACAGCTTCCTTTTGACATTCCCAGAGATTGACGCTGTCAGTCAAATTAGAAACTATTTATTAGAAACTGTTTATGAGCTGAGCGTATAAAGCATGGAATCTCTTTGGGTTGCGTTCCTGCATTCAATTTCCTAGAAACATTTGAAGGTTGAGATTAATGATTGGAAATTATACTGAAAAAGAGAGAGATGTTTGAGCTGAAGTGGATAACCCCTGAAGATTGTAGAAGGGCAGTTATCATGCAGAGTTTGTATTCTTCCCAGGTGATTTCCATTTCTGAAAAACCAATCTGAATGTAATGGGCCTCTGCAAAAATATCTTTTTCTCCCTCTTTCTAGGTTTAAAGGAGACAGAATTTAATTGGACTTCCTATTTGAAGAATTGCAATGCTCAAGTAGCTCCAAAAAGCCTTTTTAAGACCCTCAGAACTGTAAGTGGTGATACTGAATGCGAGATGTTTCAAATAGGTCTGATGCTAAGTGAGTTTTGACCAGAATATTTACCTGTTTTTAATATGCTCACGTCAGAGGTACAACCATGGTACAGTCAGATGGCAGCTATTTCTTGCTGTGATTTATTTTTAAGATGGGAAACTAGTACAATTTTTCTTCCTTCCCACAGTCACTGGCTTTCCAGAGGGAGGATTTGTATTTCCCTTCCTCCTTAATACTGGAGGAAAAGATTTACTCTTCCATTTATTAAATATATTACAACGGTCTGTTTTGCTGTGTCCCTACAGTCAAGATATTTGTGTCACTTTCCTCTAATTTAATCATTTCCAAAATAATTTCTGGTTTCCAGCAGCATACTCATGTGTGCCATGGGATTCATTATAAGGCTGTGGATCTTGAGCATTTTTCATCCTTCACCCACTGTTGCTTTCCTTTTGGTCGTTAGTCTCAGTTCCTCTGTAACACTCACTCCCATTTCCTGTCACTCAGATGACACAATGACCACGCTCTGGTGGATTTGACGCTGCAGGTCGACAGAGCATTGACTTCAGTCGGATCAGGGCCTGACTGTGCAGCTCTGCTCTGCTCCGACTGAGTCACCTCTTTT